GATGGCAATGGGATTAAAAGTGAGCTCAAAAATGAGGAAGCAGATCTGGAGTCTGTTGAAAAAGGATGAAAGAGAGAAGGATAAGAGATGACTGCTACAGGGGAACCATGAAGGGAAAAGGATGGTGTTTGTTTCTTTGGACTGTGGGATGGTAAACAAACCTGTGTTTTGTCTTCATTGCAAAAGCTTGCACAGTCACAGGATGGGAACAAAGGTTGAAGTAAGGTTCTAAAGGAATCTTGCAAAGTCTAGGGTCAAGAACACCTATAAATGAGTTGCCTTTTTCAGTTCTAATTATCCTCCAGTTCATAATCCTGCATCCTAACATATCCATTTCTATCTTAACCTTTTGTTCATTCTTTAAAATGCTTACATCTATGACAGCATAGGGAGGCTATGAAGCAGAGGACCCAAGTTGAAATCCCAGGTTATTGATACGTTACCTTGAGCAAGTTATTTGACATTTCTGTGAGATAAGATAATAATATCACCTCTCTTGTAGGATTATTAGTAACTGTTTCTAATTCATGGAGAAATTGTGAGGATTCAATTATTTAATTCATGTAAAGCTCTTAGAAATGTAACTGCACATGACAAGCACTCCACATATATTAGCAATTATTATGATTCTAGGCACATGTAAGTGACTTATGTGAATCACCTCTTTGAATCCTTAAAATTCCTCTATGAGTTAGATACTATCATTCATCCCATTTCACATATTATAATGACAGCAAATAATTATTGAAAACTTACTATTTTCTAGCCAAGGATTTAAAAGTTTTATATGCAACACCAATAACCAAGTTTACTATTTATAGTTATATACTATAATTTTTCCTGCCACCAAGCCCTGCCCCACCATCTACCCCCAAATAGGGAATTGAAGAATTCCTCCATAGGGAAACAAATCATCTCAGTAATAAAGTTAACATGATTTTATATCTGAGGATCACCCAGGAAAGAGCTGAGGCCACACTCAATTATTCAGTGAGCTACTCACTCAACAAACCCTGCCCTGACTTACACAAAGAGAAACTGACTACCTTTTAGCGCCTCATTATTTGATTGAACAGAAAACCAAGGCTTATTAGGCTGTCGAACATAAGAAACAGAGACTGAAAGAGGCAGAGAGAGCAGAGGAACATTTTGTAATGAATAAGAAGGTATTACATCTGATAATGATGAAAAGAATGCTATAGAAAACATTCTTGGAAATTAAAAATATAATAGTAAAAAATTAATAGATAGGCTGAAAGAGAAAGTCGTAGCAAACTGGAAATACAAGAAAATTAGGTAATCAATCCAGTTAGTATTTGATGAGTAAAAGTTTCAGAAAAATAAAACAGAGGGGAGGAATGATTACCAAAGTTCCTCATAACTGAAGGGTCTGAATCTCAACTGAATTCGCCCAGGGAGTACCCACAAAATGGGTGAAAAGGAACCATTTCACAACTCACTATTTTAAAATTTCAGAGTACTAGAGATCAGATTCTAAAAAGTTCAAAATAGTGAAAACAAAACACATAATGTAAAAGTTATTCCACAAGCCAAGGATGAGAATTTTGAGTAGCATTTGATTTCTTTTTTTCTCTTGTATGAGACAGGGTCTCACTCTGTCATCTAGACTGAGTGCAATGTCACAATCATGTCTCACTGAAGCCTTGATCTCCCGGACTTAAGCAATCTTCCCACTTCAGCCTCTGGAGTAGCCAGTGCTACAGGTGCACGCCACCTTGTTCAGCTAAATTTTTTACTTTTTCTGTAGAGATGGGATCTTGCTGTGTTGCCTAGGCTTGTCTCAAACTCCTGGGCTCAAGTAATCCTCCCGCCTCAGCCTCCCAAAGTGCTGAGATTACATGCACGAACCAACACACCTGGCCAGTATTTTATTTGTTAACAGCAATTCTGGTATCTAAGAGACAATGTAAAAGTACCTTTTTTTTTTTTTTTTTTTTTTTTTGAGACGGAGTCTCGCTCTGCCGCCCAGGCTGGAGTGCAGTGGCCGGATCTCAGCTCACTGCAAGCTCCGCCTCCCGGGTTTACGCCATTCTCCTGCCTCAGCCTCCCGAGTAGCTGGGACTACAGGCGCCCGCCACCTCGCCCGGCTAGTTTTTTGTATTTTTTAGTAGAGACGGGGTTTCACCATGTTAGCCAGGATGGTCTCGATCTCCTGACCTCGTGATCCGCCCGTCTCGGCCTCCCAAAGTGCTGGGATTACAGGCTTGAGCCACCGCGCCCGGCCGTAAAAGTACCTTTAGATCTATGATACAAAACTGTTTTCAGTATACAGTTCTATATCCAGTCAAACTGTCTAACGATGAACATAGAACCAAGGGATTTTTAAACATACAAAGTCTCAAAAAGTTTACCTCTCATTCACTATTAAAGCTTTTAAAGAATTAGTTCAGGAAACAAAGGACTGAGGAAACAAATGAAAGGCATGAGATACAGAATCAGGGAGTTAAATACTTCAGAAAGAAAATGATTCTCAGAAAGTGAAATAAACTCCCTCCTTAACAGTTGTATAGCAGGCCAAAGCAGATCTTCCTAAACTGAAAAAAAGAACAGAGGGCTTCAGAAAAGTTGTTCCCTTGGGGTAAAATAAACAGATTCCTTGATATGTTTGCATATATTGAGACGAGATTAGTATATCTGCTTCGGAATCAAAGTAGTAATAGGTACATAGAGAACTAAGAAAAGAAACCAAAATTAAGGCAATAGTCAACTCTAGGGAAAACAAAAAGTTGTACATAAAAGGAAATATAAGCATAGTCTAATATATTGCTCAATTATTAATAATATGTACATAGGCAAAATAACATAAACACTCAAATTATTTAAACAAAATTTTGACTAAATATGGTGACATGAAAGGGTGGGAAATATGCATGCTAATTAGCTATTTTAATACAGCAAAATGAAGAAATAGAAAAATAACATGTTATTTTGAATTATGAAAGAAAATTCCATAAATAACTAAAAGATTTCAAAGTGCTGAAAGTGGTTGCTTCTGGAGAGTGAGAATCAAGAATGGAGTGGGTGGGATTTGTTATAGGCCCCACCCACTTTAGAACCATTTGATTGTTTTTAGAACCATTTGACGTTTTAAAATATGAGCATGTCTTGCTTTAATAAAATGTTAATATGCTCGCTCCACACTCAATTAGCACAGTGAGCCACCAACTCAACAAACCCTGCCCTAACATACACAAAGCATATCCTAATCACGTTTTGGTACTTCATAACTCATAGACAACTATAAGCAACAATTTTAAAGGTTCTTCAGCTAAATCTTATTTCAAACACTACCTTCAGGAAAAAATTACTTTTTAAATAAATGACACTGAGTTTGATCCTTCCTAACTATATACTATTGTTAAAAGACACACAGTGTGCCCTTAAAAATTCTTCAGTCTTTCACAGATTTTATAATATTTCCAGTTAGATTTAAACTTTGAAGATAAGGAAGGGGTCATTCATCTTTTATTACGTTATCTCCATCCACAGCACCTCTTCAAACCAAACTCTGTATGGCTGAAGAAAACCAAAAATCTGGTAAGCTACAGACATGAGCAATACTTTTCGTACTGGAAAAGAATTGAGAAATTAACTCATTACCTTTAACTTTAGAAGTGAGCAAAGAAACCCAAAGAGGTTAACTATAATTAGTTCCTAGATAAGAAGTTATCTGTATTTGCCATCTGCTTTGATGTTTGGCATCCTTATCCTATTATATATTAATTTTTAATATATAGTATCCTATTTTTTGAAAGCTAACATTTAAAATCTGAATCATGTTAAATAGAAAGGGAAATAAAATTTTATATACATCTAATAATGCCTGCTCTGGTCAGACATAGGTGAAAGAATTTCAGGCCTACAATAGAGAAATTCAGCAAAAGATAAAATACCACTTTCCTTTGCTGTTTGCAAATTGGATCCATAGTCATTTCTTCCCAGTTTTCCATTATTATTTCCTGAAGCAGAGTGAGTTACAGCAAATCACCCCTAGATAGGTGATTTGATTATCTTTAGCATGTGGAATCTGTTACTCTCATAATGCTTATCAGCTCTGGCACAAATTGAACACATTAATCACCCCAAAAAAGAACTCTGCAAGAAGGATAGGAACCAGTGAGTTTCACTGATAATGAGAAAATGGTTCTTTTTTTAAGGAACACATTGCTAATATTAAGTTGAAAGAAAAAGACAATTTTGGGGAAGAGAGTGATAACTATAACAATGGACAAGGAAAATGAATTTAAATGGATATTATGAGAACTGAGGGACTCAATCCTCAGGGCAAATCGTACTTTGGCAACTATTTATATTTGATTCTGATGAAAAGCATACCAGACTCCCTTTGGGCCTTTTTGGGGATGTAAAATTTGGAGAAGGGCTGAAAAGTCTGAGTTCGAAGATTAGCATCTTATCTTTTTCCAAATGAACATGGATTTATGCCTTCAAATGGTTAACACTTATCTCTATGCAGCTGGAAATACAGCACAAATGGGAGCCTTTGAGTGTTTAAAGCAAACGTGGAACCAAAGCACTGCAGGAGAAAGACAGGGCAGGGCAGCGAGGAGGGGGACGAGGGGGAGTTGCTATCAGTAACTCGCCCTTATCCCCGTGCCCAGCCTGCAAGGCTGAGCTAGACCCATCTATCACTGACGCACAGCGAGTCTCAGGCTTGTCCCTTTGACAACAACGTCCCTTTTGTTACCTTGCTATTATGCCTGGCAGCTTCTTGTCCATGAATTCCTGCATGCACTGGTGTTCCGTGGAATGGCTGAGAAACCTCCGGAAAGATTCAACATATCTCCCGTGGTCAGAAAACAAGCTCCTCATGGAAGATGCCATGTTTGGTTTTCTGAGAAAGACAGAGTGGGAAGCAAGGTTTAACTTCCCCTCCTTCTCTTCCCAGTTCCTTCATTCTTTCCCCACCCCCACCAGTTTCTATCCAAAAAAAAAAAAAAAAAACGCTAGGCTTGTTTTGAATTTAACATGCACCAAAGGCTGGCGTGCAGAGCTCATTGCTGACTCAATGTTTGAACAGCACTTTGCACTGATACTTTAACCCCTACACGGTTGTTTTATAAGAAATAGAAGTACTAAAGCAAGGCTGTAAATACACTGCTAAAACTTTTCAAACTCCTGATGTTGAAAGGTCATAAAAACAGACTGTATTCAAATCACTTCCTGTTTTGTCAGCAGAGCCGCAAGTAAGTTCCAAGTGTGAAAGTGACTGTTCAAAGTGGCAAACGCAGGATGAAAAGGACAGCTACACAGCACTCTCAGAAATCTACAGCAGTGAAATCTTTGACGAAAGACTGTCATCTGCCTCTGGGCTTTCTACAGGATTGTTTTGGCCTTGACATCCCTCAGCACTTAAATTTTCAACTTATCTGCTGCATTTCTTCAAATGCTGATTTGTGGTAACTCAAATTATCTTAAGAGGAAGTCACCAAGGAGGAGCCCAAGAACTCGTAGCTAGAAGCTGTCAGAAGCTGCATTTAGGGGATTGAGAGTGGTGAGAGAAGTCTTGGAGCAAGAGTGCAGGACACCAGGGTAAAAGCCCAGTCCGTAGAATCCTTCCCTAAGCACTTTGAACACGACGAGGTCAAAGACACTTCGCTTGGCTGGTTGAGCCTTTGGAAACCCAGTGGTATCACCCACCAGAAGACCCAAAGCTTCAGAGTACTCACACACAGTCTTTCTCCTGGGAAGTGGTCTTTAAGAAGGTATCTAATTCTTTATCTAATACTGAGTTGTTAATAATAGCATCCAACTCATGGAGGAGTTGTGAGGATCAAATGAGTTAACTCATTATAAGTCTCTTAGAAATATGTCTGCTTAAACTGTCCCCTTCTAATTGAGTTCCCAAACTGTCCTCTAAGCATTCAAAACACTCCCCAACTCCCTTTGTTTTCTGTTTGTTTGTTTGTTTTTGTTTTTTGAGACGGAGTCTCGCTCTGTCGCCCAACCTGGAGTGCAATGGTGCGATCTCCGCTGACTGCAACCTCTGCCTCCTGGGCTGAAGTGATTCTCCTGTCTCAGCCTCCCGAATAACTGGGATTATAGGCGCCCGCCACCACGCCTCGCTAATTTTTATATTTTTAGTAGAGACGGGGTTTCACCATGTTGGCCAGGCTTGAACTCTTGACCTCAAATGATCCACTCACCTTGGCCTCCCAAAGTGCTGGGATTACAGGCATGAGCCACCATGCCCAGCCCCCAATCCCCTCCCCCAACTCTCTTTTATAAGTATGTTTTGTTCTCACTATTCTTAGAGCCAGTGCTTTTACCCTAGGGGAAAATGGAACATCTGGATAGGCAGATTGCCGTGGATGACTCTGTCCTTAATGAACTGTGTGACTTTGGCTGAAATATAAGCTGCAGTTTGCTCATCAGTAAAATGGGAACAACGAATTTGATCTCATAGGGTTGTAGTGAGAATAATATAACTAATGTTTAAAAAGTGCAAGCCAGTCCTTTCTGCAAAAATAATAATAATAATAATAATAAAATAACAAAAACCATCGTCACTTTATTCATGGAAGTTGAAATTTGAGTTTCATATCATTTTCACATGTCATGAAATGCTATCATTCTTTGAATTTAACCATTTAAAAACATAAAATTTATTGGTAGCTCATGGGCTGCACAAAACAGGTGGGTAGGGCTGGGTTCGGCCACAGGCCCTATTTGGTCAAGCCCTGATTTAGCTCCTCTGCCCTTCACTCATCCTTGGAAAAGGTCTTTGCTAGTTCTCTACTCACATCTCTATCCAGCCAGCCTTCCGTTTCCTCAGATTGACTCTGACAAACTTTTGCTTGTATTACCATCTTCCATTTTTCTCTTTAGAGCTCAACCCAAATCATTCATTCATTCATGTTTACATCTATCTGTTTTTGTTTCATTTTAACCCAAACCAAAAATGGCCAATAATGTATTCATCTATTGAATAAATGTTCAGTAAGAGTTGCTGTTGGCTATTCTGCTGAGGAATACTCCTGACATGACTTTCTCTTGGAAAACTGATGCTAAGACCTCCCTTAACTGAAACTTGGTCTTCTGAGACTATCACCTCCCTTGTCTGCTGTCAGATATTCTCCAACAGAGCCTGCTCTTCATGTGGATCCCATTGAGGACTTCCTTTCTATTCCCACTGTTTCCACCCTACTTGAGATTCTCTTTATTTTTCACTTATTGTGCTATTTAAAAAAAAAAAAAAACAAACTTGTAAGTTCAAGGGTACATGTGCAGATTTGTTGCATAGGTAAATATGTTTCATGGGGGCTTGTTTTACAGATTATTTCACCACTCAGGTATTAAGCCTAGTACCCATTAGTTATTTTTCCTGATTCTCTCCCTCTTCCCACACTCCACCTCCAATAGGCCCAGTGTGTGTTTTTCCCATCTAATGTTTCCATATTTTCTCATTATTTAGCTCCCACTTATAAGTGAGAATATGCAGTATTTGGTTTTCTGTTCCTGCATTAGTTTGCTAAGGATAATGGCCTCCAGTTCCATCCATGTCCCCACAAAGGACATGATCTCATCCTTTTTTATGGCTGCTTAGTATTCCATGATATACATACATCACATTTTCTTTGTCCAGTCTGTCATTGATGAGCATTTAGGTTGATTCCATGTATTTGTTATTGCATATAGTGTTGCAATAAACATTCACATACATGTGTGTTTATAACAGAACAATTTATATTCCTTTGGGAATAATATACCCAGTAATGGGATTGCTGGGTTGAATGGGATTTCTGTCTTTAGGTCTTTGAAGAATCGCCACACTGTCTTCCACAATGGTTGAACTAACACTCCCACCAACGGGGTATAAGTGTTTCCTTTTCTCAACAACTTTGCCAGCACCTGTTATTTTTTTACTTTTTCATAATAGCCACTGTGACCGGTGTGAGGTGGTATCTCATTGTAGTTTTTATTTGCATTTCTCTAATGATAAGTGATGTTGAACTTTTTGTTCATATGATTGTTGGCTGCATATATGTCTTCTTTTGAAAAGTATCTATTCATGTCCTCTATCCACTTTTAATGTTTTTTTTTTTTCTTGTAAATTTACTTAACTTCCTTATAGATGATGGATACTAGACCTTTGTCAGGTGCATAGTTTGCAAAAATTTTCTCCCATTCTATCAGTTGTTTATTCCTGTTCATAGTTTTCTTTTGCTGTAGAGACGATCCTTAGTGTAATTAGTTCTCATTTGTCAACTTTTGCTTTTGGTGTCTTCATCATGAAATCTTTGTCCATGTGTATGTCCTGCATGGTATTGCCTAGGTTGTCTTACAGGGTTTCTATAGTTTTGCGTTTTATATTTAAGTCTTTAATCCATCTTAAGTTAATTTTTATATATGGTATAATGAAGGGGTGCAGTTTCAACCTTCTGCATTTGGCTGGCCAGTTATCCTATACTGTGCTATTTTTTTAATTGGGTTTCCTGCTTTAGGAATCACACAGATCCTAACCAATTTTATTGCCACTGTCAACTTCATGATTTTTTTTTTTTTAAGTTTGGATAAAGACAGTCTTTTCTTTCTCTCATAATATTTAGTCTCCCCACTGACCCCCAAGTCAAGTACAAGATCCACTCTGCAGTTCCCCCAATAATTATCCAGAATTGTGTCTCATTTTATCTCTAGTTTTGCATTTATATCCCCTTCAAATTGTGCTGCTTCTCTGGATACGTTCCTATGCTTTTTTGCCTACAGCCTCTCTTCATAATAGTTCCTTCTGTAACATGCTGCTTCCTTTCTTACCACATCCATTGAAAAATTTTCTATTCTTCATATGCTACCACTTTCATATATCCTTCCATATTTCCCTCAAAATAATCAGCACTCATGCTCATAATTTCTGATATTCTTGCAAGCATTCATCCTTGTGTTACTGTTGTTTAATATATTTGCCTTAACTCCCCTGCTTGTCCCCATGTGACTTAGCTCATAAAGACAGGAACTGAGTCACAGCTACTTCCCCGATGTGTTGCCCAAAGTAGACTTTCAGTTCTTTTTTAAATAATTAAGAATGTGCTTGAACATTTACACTCTTGAGATGTTCTCTGCTATCAGATGTCCTCCATCCTTTTCATTATTGAGTAGCTCTATATGTTACCAATAACACCAGAATTCCATTCCTTGAACACTTACTATGTGCCAGAAATTGTATGGACCTTATAAAATTTAATGTAGTATTTACTCTTTGTAGTACCTCCATCAACTTCCCCCTATTACAAATGAGAAAACCTAGTTTCTGAGAGATTAAGCTACCTAACCAAAAACTGCAGGACTGGTGTTGAATTGTAGGTCTGTCAAATCCCAGGACTAGCGCTCTCACAAAAATCTTTATATTCAGCCAAAACCTGCTGCCCTGTAATTCTTAGATAGTACTCCTATTTCCGGTTGCTTAAACTAAACAGAAGTAATCCAGTTCTGTCTCCGTATAACAACCATTAAAAAACTTGAAATCAACCATCAGGACAACCTTACTCCCCAAGGTGTCTCTTTCATAGCTCCTAATTATTTCTTCTGCAATATAGCGTTATATAATTTGTTACTCTAGCCCCTCCTTTGGAAATACTCTAGTTTGTCTGGGTTTCTTTAAAAGGTGATGTTTGAAAATAAACACAATATACCCAAAGCTACCTAAAAAGTGGAGATTTATTTTCCAGGCTTACACTAGTGTTTCCCAAAGTTCCGCCCAACTCAACTTCTTTCAGATTTTACTCTGCAAAAAAAAGGGTTCCACAGTCAAATAATTTAAAAAGTGCTGAACTGAGTAGCTTCCTCTGGATATTTATAATGCACATTAGTATATTAAAGATTCATAAAACCTTTGTCACATGTCCTCTTCAGATGCAAATATATCATGGCTACGACATTTCTCTGATTAGTCTTGCAGTCCCTCAAAAGACAAAAAAAAAAGAGGAAATCTTGTTGCTTTCAGCATGATTTGTGTTTGATTAAGTGCTGGTTTCAGCAATCACAACTTCCTTTTAAAATTGCATATAGAATATCTGTTTCATAATCCATACTGCATCTGGAATTTCCTTCTAGCTGGCTGGTTAGAATTACCGAATCTTGAAAATCTTTTTTTCCCTTTTTTTTTTTTTTTTTGGAAAATTGAAGCAACAATCTAGCACATCTATCATTTGCCATGACTTTTAAAAAGTTACCAGCAGTGACATCAGTATTGCTTTTATAAGTTCTTTCAGCACACTGAAATGTAATTTTTTTAGACTTTAAATTATTGCCTAATTTAAAATTCTTATTTATTTTCTTACCTATTTTGGGCATCCATCCCCTATTACATATCAATTATTAAGCTGTTACTATGTCAAAGTGCCTTATATACTTCTAACACTCTGGGGGATGGAACTATTGATACCATCAAGTGAGACTCAGAGCAGATAAATAGTATAAGACCGCATAACTCCTAAGAGAAGAGCCTGGGTTCAAATTAATGTTTGATTCCAAGGCTCATTTAAAAAAATTATGCCATATTACCTCTCACCTTTCTGTGTCTTTCCACCATGAAGATTATTTTCCATGTTACAGAAGATAGGAGCAAAGAAAAAGTGGAATAATTCTGTGTTCTTTCTATCACCTTTTAATAGAACACCATCTTTGCTAGGTCAAAAAACAAAGGCTTTCCCTTGTTCATTCTTCTTCCTCTGTATGTGGTACACCAAAAAATAAACAAATGAACAAA